TCTCCGACTCAGTCTCTATTATATATGTATGCTATTAACTCTGTTTAATAAGAACAATGAGAATAAATATTTTTATATCTGAATTACTTATGGAATGATGAGGAATACGATGCTTCCTTATACTATATACTTCGGTATAATTATTCTAAATTTAATTCTGTTGCTTATTTTATATTTAGTTTAATTTTTAATTATATCATATTTGGAAATTTACGTTTTCATTTTGCAGTATCGATTTTGAACCGTAAGAAATCACTCATTGAAACGAAATTACTATTTGAAAGAAGGAACAATGATTAGGACATTAGCACGTTGATTTTGTTATCTCGACTGCTTTACGACTGGAGCTATTTTGCATTAAGATATACGTATCGTCGGGAGATACTTGGAGGTATCCTTATCGTCGTCAACATTTACGATACGTCTTGACGTATCGATGTGCGAACGCTTTCGAAGAGTATAAATGTTTACAGTTTGAATTTAAGTCCCGCTTTCGTAGAACGCGATTTAACACATGAGAATCTAACTATACTTTATCGCAACACTTACATAGTACTTTATTAACTAATTTAAATAATATTTAAGAAAAAAATATTTTATGGAAAAAAATGAGGCGATGAGACCGTCAGAATGTGATAATGTTCCTTGAAATGTATCTTATCTTTCTTGACACTTTGCTTACTAAGTATTTTGAGATGGGATAAACATGGATGCTGTTTTAGAAATTCAAGCTTTAGATAACTTTTGTATTGTCTGCGTAGCATACACATGATATTGTTTAGAAAATTTTTAATTTTAATATATTATCATAAATATAAAATATAAAATAAATATGGTAGTAAAATATTATATAATATTATATAATATGATTAAAAATAAAATAATATTTTCAATTGAATAGTGTATTTGTTACTTTGTATTGCTATCTATTTATGTCATTCCACATGTTACTATATTGCATGATATTTATTTTTTATTAACATTTTTAAAAAAATTTAAATAACGATAGTTGTCAACAGTTATTATTGTATCATTGAAAAGTTTGCCAATCATAGATGATCATAGTAATTATATTAATATTCTCTTGATAAAAGAATACTATCATTCGCATTAACTATAGAACTTAAATACTCATTAGTAATTGCGATAGATGATTAATATCTGCTATGATATATGAATACATTGATTCAATTTTTGTCATTTTTTTTCCATTAGTTTCATACAAGTCAATAACATGATTTCTTTTAATTTAATTTTTGTCATAATATAATGTTACTATTATTTTCCTATTACGATATTGATCGACGAGAACCTCTAAATATTCGGTCACTTGAGCAAAGAAATATCCCAAGTATTGATCCGAGGTGAGTTGTGCCTAGTTACACGTGCTGCCATTATTTTACAGTTTGTAAGTTGAAAATGGATTTCTCTATTAATAAGTTCACTCAACTATTAAGGCTATTGATAAACTTGGTCAAATAAGAATTATATGCACATTTGTAAAATTAAGATCAATTAAGGTTAATAATAAATTGCAACAGCGCCGAAATTTTAATTTTGTTCTTGGCAAAACGTATGATTAAATCCATCTTTAAGTATATTAAATTCAGAAGTTTCATATAAGTCTATAAAGAAAGTTTGAAAGGCTTCTATAAATGGCACTTTTTATATAAATGATTGTGCGTGTATGTATAATATACGATTGTACATATAAAAACTGGCAAAAAAGATCAATAATATATATATTTATTCACTCTCCCGTGTGATTTATGAAAATTACAGAGAATCGCATGGTCGTAAGATTATCCTTGTCCTGTTGTGTGTTATTCGATCTTTATTATTAAATCAACGATGCTTGCAAAATCCGGTAATATGAATGCTACATTACCCGTTCATTCATTACGATGATTTAATTCCGAGCCAAGTTCAAGCGAGCTCGCGTAAGTTGATGCCCGATACCACCTCGTGTTGCAGATTTCATTCCACATACGCCACGTACAGCGTTAACTCAATTATCATCGTACGGACGATAAAGCATACGTTAAGGCCTCATTCATGCCGACAGCTGAAACCTTCAAACGACGTCACGGCTGCCCACCCCGTGATACGAGAAGCTACGCGATAATTCGTGAAACGTTTCTAACGCGCGTATATAGGCTTTCATAAATCATCAACCCTTTATAATACGCAGTTGGCCTTTAAAAAGAACGTATTGTTTATTAAAAACCGATTATAAGATCTGAAATTAAATATTTAAATCTTTTTTTTATTATAAAAAAGTAAAACACGAAGCAGCAGATATTTGTGCAATAAGACTGATATGGCGACGAAAAGAAAGTTAAAAACGGGGAAATCTTACATTATAATCTTCGGACTATACGACTCTTAATCCATGTCATAATCTGCGATCAAACGTGCACGTGGCGTCCGAAAGAACCACGAAACACACGCAAGAGTTAAAGTGTCATCTGCGCAAGGCCATAACGAGTCCTTAGCTTATGTCCCCGAAAAGAGGAGCTTACGGTTTCGCGAATAAACGATTCCTTATCGTTCGCGGACACGTCAGACGCGACAAAACTTTGCTGTGAATCAAGGATACGTGAATACATAACGAGGGTGGTAGTTGGTGCGACGCGGCTTCGATTGACCATTGGCTTGTATGTATCGTTGGTCTGTCGTAGTAGTTGACGATGTAGCAGTGAAATACGGCTATGCCGATGTGTCCTTGAGATACGCGATTGAGAACTGGATTTCATGCGTTTCATATTCCACGTTCGTCGGCTTGCCCTATTCTCGTGACCGGTTGCCATTAACATAATTCTTATTCATTAAGAGTGCGATTTGTACCACTTCGTCGAAAATGTTAATTTTATATTATATCACGTAATTAATTATATGACGTAATAATGACTAACATTTTCGATACTTAATAAGTATTCCAATTATCGAGTCGAGTGCTACAAAAATTATGAAAAGATTGCGATGTCTCCTTCTATGTTATATTTTTCCACTTCCTGTGTAGATTACACAGTATACGGTTAATTTATTTGTTTAGCAATGCGTTATCGGATGCAGTAGAACTGTTGTAGAACTTGTCGTAATGGAATACTTTTAGTCAATTGTAATTTAATACTGCATTCAATGTTGATCAGTAGTGAAAGTGTTTGGAAATAATAAAGTCTACATTGTATATCTTGTTACAAATGACACACGAATAGAAGTAAAATTCAATAAATAACTAATGAATGCATAAATGATAATCGATACGATTGCTATTAACGTGTATTTCTATCGCAGATGTATAGCATCAGTAATCTCGCGTATAAATCATTTCGACAGTATATTACGTGTCAATTTATTTATCGACAGTGAAATTTCTTTAAAAACAAATAACTGAATTTTTAATCAATAAAATATATAAATTAGCAAATATTCAATTTACGTCATTATAATTTCTCAGTCTTTGTTTTCGAAAAGAAAAATAAGTATTATTTTTTATAATTACCTGCTGATTTATGTAATATTTGAAACGGGAGCTTTAATCGAGTTTTTCATATAAATTTATCAAAATATATTATAAAGATATTTATATTGTTACGTTATTAAATATGAAAAATTTACAATATTGCTATTGATTTGTAAAATATTCGATTTTAAAGAATACACAAATGGAAATTAATATTACTCTTAATTTAGAATTGATACTAATTTGCAATTTTTTAAAATAAGCAATTATCGCTTTATCATATGATATTGTGATGTTTGATTATTCACAAATTCGCTATCGCATTTATCATTTGGCTACTGTACATTTAACCACGCTATATTGTCGTGCGACGATTTCTTTTAGAAGAAATGCCAGTATATTGTATACATCAAACCTTGCTGAATGATGCCTTTATGTGAACAAATCCTCATGGATAAGCCGGACTGTCCATCTCATCAGAGTTTTCCATCATATTTTCCCTCATTTCAACGCCAAATATATTCATTCTCCTTTTTTATTGAGCACACAACAATTCTTTATGAGCTCAATACATCAAGCATTTATATTATCTTAGAAAAAAATTTTAGTTTTTTTATAATATTATAAATAATGTATGTATAACTAAGAATAAGTATATTGTACAATATTATTCTATAAAAATAGATCTAAAAGATTTATAAGATTTGAAAGAATTTATTGATAAATTTCAGTTAAACTCTTTACTTAAACGATAGAGCAAAAAAACTAATGACACTTCCGAGTCTTGATCCGAGCTTCTTTTTATTGCAGATTGCACCCACGAGATTTAACAACGTGGGAGTCGATCAGTGAGACTTGGCGGCGTGTGAGGGTGGTGTCCACGGGCACCACCGAAAGCTGGGGCATCTCGAGGACAAGGAGAAGGTCCTGGAGGAGGAAGAGGTGGCTCGCAGGCGGGAGGGAAGACCGGAGGTGACTATCCACCCCACATGGACGCCACCCCCAAAAGACCACCCGTACCCCCCACACCGGATATCCTGTCGTCATTATCTCGCCGCGGAATATCCGACTTAAGTGTCGTCGCGGTATCACCGCGTCGTGCCTTACGTCACCGTCAACGTCGTCGAATATCCAGCAGGAGACCCCCTTCATTGCTCTTCGGTGGTGACTGTCATATACCGAAAACATCATCAAAAACGTCATCCCTGTCGTCACCTACGTGCCTCAATTTTCTTTGTCTTCTGCGTCCCGCGATAGAAGGACCATCGATTTCACGTCGTCTCTTTAACGTCTTTGGAACGGAACGTCGCGCTCGAGGATCGTCTGTCGCTGCTGGCAGTGAGACGATTCTGTTTATAAATAATCCCACGTGGCACCTGAACACGACGACGTTAATCACTCGCCAAGCAGTGAGGGAATTTTTTACGCATCGCATTTTTATACCGCGTCACCGCGCGTTTGATGCCTACTTTACAACAGCTGACCAGCGTCGAGCCGGGAGATCGTTCCGTTTAACGGCCGTCATCTTCCGCATCGGCGGACATATCGACAGACTCCGTCCAGAAGCGCCTAACTCGAAAGTACAGCCTAAAGCTAAACCACGCAAACAATGTCACGCAGCGCTGCCACGCGGCCTATGCAAGGTGAGTGATCTCAGATTGTCATTTATACCAAGAACACGCGTACATATTGCATCTCGATGCGACTTTTGTATTATATTATGATAACATCTGTCGATGATAACATCAATGATTCTCATTAATAATTGCGGCTATAGCTATATATGACATACATATCAATATGTTATGGATAAGGAGTTCTATTATAATACAAAGCGATCAAATAGATGAAACACTTGAAATAAACGTACGCATATTGATCGATTCGGTTGGTTGATTCATCGTTGATTTATTGACTGGTCAATTCCAATTTTATTCTTTCTGTATTTGCCTCTTTCGAGTAATAGAATGTTTTCCTTACGTCATTTTTGCTTTCAATTTCTCCGAATAACCAAACCGTATTTCCGCGAAAACATTGTGCGGAGTTTCTCCTTCCATGCGTTTATTCCAGCAATCACTCACTATTCAACTACTCGGTGGTCGATCCGTTATTTCCTCGTTAGACCGTTCCGGAAAAAGAACAATTATCATAACAACGAGGTATTTTTTTTTTATGAAAATTGTCATAATATTTCTAATTGTCTTAATATTTCTAAATTAGACTAATTCTACGAATTTCATTTATTCATGTTTCGATATCTATATTTCGATGAAATGTAAATAATATCACGTGTATCAAATTTTCTTGCATTATTTAAAATAAGTTCAAAGAAGAATTCTTCACAAACTTTAATAATTTTATCTTATATCTTTTACTTTAGTACTACAGAAAAAAGGAAAATGATTAACGCGTTACAGATTCTCTAGATCAGTGAATATACTTTTAAGAAAGTATAACTGTTAGTTAGTTGCTGTTTTTTTAACAATAACTCTTTTTCTCATGAAAAATTGTTCTCCAGTAAAACTACAGTTAAAATTTAAAAAATTATTAATTCAAATTATATCATGTTTAAAATTCTTTAAAGCGAAACTGAATTTTTACCGACTTCGTATCATCGTTATCCATTAAACGAGTCAAATTCCCAAGTCGTACCAGCTGCGTAGCGTAGCAGATCGATCGGAACCCTAGCTGCAGCTGCGTTCACCACCGTCAGTGTAACAGCAACCCTCTTTACCCCCGTAGTCGAGGCTCGAAGTCGTCTTGAATTTTCGCCGCATCATCACCACTGGCGTCGCGACGCCGAGCGTCGCGTGGCGCCGTCGTTGGACGACGCCTCGAGGTTGCACGTCTCGATATCCGAGCGAGCCATCCAGCGAGCTAACCAGCCAGCCAGCCAACCCCTCTGTGTTCCGTGCGAAACCGTTTCGTTACATCGTCGTGCAGTGCGCCGTCGTGATCCTCCGCCGGAGGAAGAGAACGACATCCTTGGTACGCGCTGCTAATTCGCGCGAACGCGGTATTGTGCGTGCGTATTACGCGTGCTGTCTGCGGGTTCGTTATTAATCAGGTGTCTTTTCTCGCGCGCCGGCTTATCGTCGTCGTCGATTCGGTGCGAAGCGATAACGGTGACAGTGACGGTGACAACAACGACGACAACGACAACGACGGCGACGACGACGACGACGACGACGACGACGACGACGACGACGACGACGACGACGACGACGACGACGACGACGACGACGACGACGACGACGACGACGACGACGACGGAATGGCAGCGATGACGGTGATGGTGGTGAGGATGGTGACGGTGCCGGTGCAACGTGAAATGAAAAACGGTGTCCACCCAATTACCGGCTGATCAAACTCGCGACTCCATTCTTATATCCCAAGGGAGAGAGAGAGAGAGAGATCTCGCGTGTCTCGTTATCTTGACAATAATGACGACGATGATCATTCGAATGTCCACCTCGATCATGTTTCCGTTTTAATCATCGGAATCAGGTAAACGTAACGCAATCGAGAAGATTCTCGATGATACGAGACGGAGACGGCGATAGTGTGATGACACGAATTCATTATCACGCATGTCGACGTCATCGCACCTACAATCATCTTTTCATTCTGATTTGTCAGCAATCGAGGGGTTTGTCAGGGCATTGATACGGTGACACGACGATTCCGAAACCGTCGTCTATTAGCAGCTACGAATCTTTCACGTTGATCCACGTATACGCTCGGGATAACCAACGTTGACCTCATCGCGACGGCGATCGATTGCCGTTTAAAAGCCTCACGGGCGTTCGTACGCACCTCGTCGCTGCACGCGCGTAAGGCTCCTCTCTTCTTCGATTCCATACTTTATCTCTTTCTTATGACATCGAGATTAGATATATCTTTATTGCTTATTGAGAATTTAGATTTAGAAATTAACTGGGAGAATAAAAATCGTGAAAATTGTTTGATAAAAATGTTATTTATTCGATGAAAAATGTTGATTAAATTGTTATGGATTTATTCTTGTTATTCCTGTAAAGATTAATTAATTAAGTGGTGAAGTTCTTTAACGTCAAGACTGAAAAATTAATTTCAGTTCAGCAAGAAGTGTCGATTAGCTCTTTATTTTTCAGCGGAGATTAATTAATTCACGAACAATCAGTTGATTCCGGGAATTTATCTGAAAAATTAATTTATTTTAGTTTGGCAAGAAATGTCGATTGAACTTTTACTCCTGTTGTTTTAGTAGAGATTAAATTATTGGTGTCGGTTTTGGAAACTGAAAAATTAATTTAGCTAAGTTGAATGAGAGATGCCGATTAAATTTTTCTTTTTATTAAACCGAACAATTGAGACTTTATATGTATACATAGCTTATTTATTTTTTCTTTTTTGAATTCGTCTTTTCTCTTTTTGTGGATAACGATCATTAGAACGATGTCGGCGAGGGTGCTTTTGTGGCAAGAGCGACGAGTAAAGAAGTCGCTCTCTCGAGAATAACGTAATGACGACGAGTGGAAAAGCACCATGCCGGGTATTGAAATCGAGCAGATCATCCCTTGTGGTCGAGGAAATCTTCGAACAATATTCGAGAAATTTAAGCGTATATTTCGAGAAAACGTGACGAAATTTTGCTGAAGAAGACAAGAAATGTTTTAGAAACGAGTGAAAGGTTTTGTGTTTTATCTGTATTCCCTTTTTATTAATTCGCTTTGTTAGGACGGACAGGTTTCAAAGAGGGATGATATCGTTTGTGGTTCGCGTTTATCAAATGCAAAATGCATTTCCTTCTTGCCGCAGAATGAAAAGTAGGTTATTCAACCTTTTTTCGATGTTGATTTTGCAGCTGCATTTGCGTGCCTGTCGATCGATAAGCCGCAGAGAATGACGGGACAGGATGAGGTTCGCGTTTTCATTTGAACGCTCGGTGAAGTTTAATTAATTAGAAGTCTTTTCCAGCGTGTCGCGAAGCGCGTCGTTTAACTTGTCTTTCACGATTTCACGGCGACGTTTATCGGCTCGTTCGGGCATAACCCGACCTTGGAAATGTATTCGCCGAGAGAAATTACGATTAACATCACGACGTGAAGCTCCCCGGGAGGAGAAAATTTTTTCCTTCTGCCGTTCCGTCAGAAGTGAGAGAGCGTCGCCGATGCTATGTGTCGTTAATCATATCTATTGGTCGTTTTTACGAACGTACGCGCGAATCAATAATAAATGTAAATGGATAATCAACTAGTGGCTGAATTATTACAAAGCAAAAGGTAAATAGGCTCATCGAGAATTCTATTATATTCGCGGCGTATCTGATCGAAAATGCTGGCCGTAAAGTCGCCTCGGAGTAGCGAGAAGACAAATTGTCAATTTCTAACTGTATAAGGAAATCCAACTACTAAAGTCCATTTGTACTGTAAATGAGCTTTTGTTTATCCTAAACGTATAAACTTCAGTTGCGTTGACCGAAAAACTTAAGCAAGTGCATTTACGAGTTATTTATAGACTTATTCGCTATCGCCATAGTTTACTAAAGCTCCTTATAAGAACGGTTAGCATAAAAAAAAAATTTATTGCATCGTGATACTTTTAAGAAATTTAATCGCTCAGTCATTACCTGGACAAGTTTATTATAAAGTGGAAGAAGGATTGGTTAATAAAGATCGGTTATTGCTGGTTGCTTTACCGCGTCGATACTTTTAGACATAATGACGTAATTTACTTTAATCTCGTATTGCTTAATCGTTTAGCTAGCAACCGATGGAAACCTGTATCCTATTACATGAAGTGTCTCACTTTACTCGCTATAATAACTGTTGACATTCGTTGGTAACTTTAAAATAGATTTCTGCGTAGCGATAATTTGATAAGACACTTAATCAACACAGGTGACAATCAACGTCAGAAATTACAGATTTTTGGCTAAGCTTCAAAGATATAAATGGACGATCAGAGTTTTTCGTCAGTTGAGTTTAAATTACTTCCGTCAGTCAACTTAAACGTTTATTTAAAGAAAAAGTTAATTTAAGCCTTAGTCACCAAGACCATTTTCTCGGTTAAAAATTAAAAAACTTTTTTGAGACATAAATTTTTATCGATAGATAAATCATCTTTAATTTTGTCGAAGAATTTCTGATAGAAAGAACTTCCGTGATGATAATAGACTCTGTATAGGAAACGCTGATTTACGCAAGACGATGATACTGTCTGTTGGCCTGGAAAACTTAAACTAGAACAACCTAATAACGCACGACACTCATAGAGAATGAACAGTTTAGTTATTATTAATATGTCGTGGTCGACTTGTATACACATCACAATGATTAAATATGCCTGATGTCGATGTTACCAATATCTCCGATTGTTGATAAAGATATAAATTCCCAACAAAAATGATACATATAATGATGAGTTTTTATGAATTTCTTATAAAGCATTTATTAAGGACAGAAAATTTATCAAAACTAAGAAAGAATGTACTAAATATTATTATAAAATTATTATATTAAAAAAACTTATTTCGAATACATGAAATATCTTCTCATTAATATATTACTTTTAATATATTATTTTTAAATTATATATAAGATTTTTTGAAAAATATTAATGTAATTATGATTTATTCTCTAATTTATTATTTTTATTATGATAAAATGTCTCTTTGTTGCTCTTAAAATTAACAAATTGGCACTCTTCTCTTACTTCTCAAAACATAAGAGCAAAACTTTCCATAAATAATAAGCAACGTGCCAACGTTTAGGATCATAAACTTGCGTTAAGCCGAGGACGTTCTGTCGTTTATGTCAATCCGCTTTTTTATCCACTGACGGAATTAAGCACAAATGAGAGTAATTCGAAAACAGCCGGCGATAGAATCGATTAATCGACCGAAGTAAAATACACATGAAGGAAAAAAACATGTACATCTAGTTGTGGAAATTTATTAAAAAGTTCCACGACGTTCTAGATGGATTCCTTTTGTGCGCACATTCTTTTCAAAATAATTTGAAAATTATTTTCATCCTTCAATCACTGAGAGAGATACTTTATCTTCGAAACGCCTGGATTGCTGCTTACGCTTATATGATGACATTCTTACTCTCTTGATTTATTTATAATCGTAAATTCCGTTTATTAAAATAATTTTCTTTAAAATAAAATTCACTGATTATATTCTAACAAGTACACAAAAGTTAAATGTAATTTTAAATAAAAAAAGAGATTATAAGATAAAAATTAAAATATTTAAAAATTTTTTTTGTTTTATAAGTTAATTTTGATTATTTTGAAAAAAAATTATTTCATTTCTCCTTTTTTTAAAGTTTGGACTGGATTGTACAAATTCTAATACTATACAATTCATACATCTAAGTGATAAAATGTCGTTGGTTGACATGTAAACTTTTGTCTCCGACAGCGATGTTAGACGTCCCACTTTTGCGTACGTTTCCTAGGAAATTGCAACTTCGCGTGGGTCGTTTCATTATTATTTCACATTATGCGATAATCCGAGAGTGAGTCGACTGGACTTATGTCCCTTCGATTTTTGGCAGCGGTTCCTGTCGTAATGCAGTACGATATGAGAATAATATCTTATCCCTTATTCGCTTTATTTAATTTTATTAATATTATTTCATATTAAATGTACAATATTCGTTGATATTGTTTTAATTAAACAGAATTTTCACGTAATTGGAAAGAATTCATTTGAACTAAATACCAGTCAACTTGACTTGACTACATTTATCAATTTATATTTATGGATTCGTATCAAACGTCATTGTGTCTAAAATTATTTAAGTAATAAATTATTTAGTTTGGAAGAGAAACATAGAGAAATAGAACGAAATGAAAATAGCATCTATACTTTCGTTTATAAAGATAATATTTGTTCTTGAAGCTAAGAAACTTGCGTGTAGTCCAGAATAATCGTTAATCCAAATGGATTTGCGTTACATCACACACACACACACACACACATACAATCTCGATTCTCATTACCATACAGTCGTGTCGTTGAATGAGAAAAAGGGAGAAAAAAGGCGCTCGATTCATTATCAGTATCGTGCGAGTGTTGCGGAGTCGATTGTGTCACCAACAAAGCCGGATAATTGAAACGAATGACAGGACGCCTTGGTCGAGTGCCAATTATCGAATACGCATTGCCACGATTGAAGGTGCAAAAAGCTCTCTATGGCTAGTATCATATCGCTCGTGTTTCTCGAAGTGCTTCGCCTCAGATAAAACGATACAATGAGTTGCATAACGGATCTGAGACGCTGCAAAAAGTGATGATGCAGCCGACAAGAAGAGCACGCGTGTCAGATTTATTTCGACTTTGGTCTCACGTTTTCGTATCTTTATGTTGTAAACTGTCTAACAGGCAAAATCGATGTTGTTAACATAACATGTTCACGGAATAGATTTACCCTATAGATTTATCTTATTTTTAGATTACAATATTATTTCTTTTTTTTTTTAAATTGCCATGTGGATGCCTCATATGATGCTTCCGTGAGCCAGCGCTGTAAAGATAAAGCCTGCCGTGCCATCACCGAGTTGCACTGAATATCTCGGATGCTAGAAACAACCACGTACGATGATGACGCTCCCGATGCAAGCGATATGAGAATGCGTGTTGTATTTATTTCGCGTTCTCTCGCATTGATGACATATATCCAATGTTTCGTCATCAATGCAGCGAGTTACAATTCGTCGATACGAAGACCGCCGAAGACCTTTGTAGCATACGCGGAGCGTAACACAATTCCTGCCGAGTTCCGACGCGATCGACATATATATATATTGATGGCGGTTCTAGTTATTTCACAATTAAACGAGACGGAAGCACGTGCGAGACTTGTAAAATTCTCTTTGAAGAGGAAAATAAATGCATGACTCGCGCGCGTGAAGATACGAGGAGTATAAATGGATATGTGTGCATGTATTTCGGTCGCAAGCTGACACCTCGAGATTGCACATGCTCCAAACTTTCTCTTTCCCTTTTTCATCCCACATTTTCAACCAGGCCGAACTTTTGTTTTCGTATGCGTACAATATAGAGTATCTCTGAAGTCCCTTCATTTCTGTCTCTATAGGGAGAGATAGAAAATTAATCAACTTTGATTGATTTATAAAAAAGTGTGTACGTCACATATACTTATGCACGTCGAAGATTATTATACTGCCCGTGTATTTTTATATTATATGTACATTGGCATAGTCGTTATGCTTTTTATTTAGCCCTTGGTTTTTACGAGAAAGTATTACGGTTTTTCAGAGAAAGTATTTCAATATTTTTTTTCGCTCAATCTATCTATTTTATACGAACGGCTAAATATTTATACAAATCTGATAAAAATCTCATAACAATACTAGTAATAAAACTACTCGCTATAACGGCGAAGACAGCCGTCACGCTAACGCACTTACTAACGGAAGTGGAATGCCGCGCGGTTCCATTATCGTTGAAAACTTCGTGCAGTGCTTCCAGACAAAATCCAGACGAGATCGTGAAAGCTCCTGTTATAGACTTCCGTCGCTCTGAGATTCAGAAGATCCGGGGCTAATTATGACGAACGTATAGTCACATCCGTATTCGCGTACAGCCGTCTATACTTAGTAATCCACAAGTATATAGATAGAGCGATTTATTTATCATTTCTTGAACGAGCGAACGAGTAAGAAACAGCTGATTTTACTATTGAAAATCTGAGCTTTATCTTGTATCTTCAAATGAAAAATAGAAAATATCTTTTACTTGGAAAAATAAATTAATAATTAACTCGGTACAAGAATACAAATTGTCAAATTATATATGTATATATTTTTTTTATTAAAGTTTTGAATGGTATATCTTGTTTATTCCGTTTTCTAACGTTGGACGTATTATTACGTACATATTACGTACATATATCGTTAGACAGTATTTCTATTTCTATCGATGGTATTTCGATAATCCACAGTACCGGAACGGTTTCCTGGTTGAGCACGATTATATCTTACGTAAGAACCCCTTCTATATCGTGTCTTCGGCGCGATCGACGAATGGGTTTCGGTGCCGGAATCCTTGGAAATCTCGGGCTCGAATACACATGGACTCGTTTGCCATTATTTTGGGAGGAAGCCCGGGTATTTTCGTTGCTAGACGCAAGAACAGAGGTGGCGGCTTGAGCGAACGATGACATCACTCTAGTGCGGGATCAAGGACGGCGAAGAGCGTGCCGAACGCTGCTCTCGAAGGATCTACTCTGCTCTCGCTCGAGTACACGTGTACTTAATACACGAGAATTCTTACTTTCGATGGCAACTCTTCCGAACTCTTGCTCATTATCTCACACATTATATTTGCCAATTAAATATGCGTTGATATATTTTTGTTTTTTTTAAATCTTTTCTTAAAAAATGAAGATAAAATGAAGATAAAAATTTAATTAATTAAATGAAAAATTGCTCTCATTTTTTGTCTACCCTAAATTCTTATTATCAGGAGCCATTCTCGTAGCGGGCAATCTTAAATTTTTCGTCTCTTGCGCTTCCAGCATTCGCGATAAGCTCGTTACAGACGAGACGGAAGTGCAGATACATTTCGCGATGCACAGTTGTGCCGTTTTGTTACGTGCCCGATAGGTCATTCTGGTCTAGAGGCGGAACGAATGCGCCGCTTTCCGAGCGGTCAATTGGTATTTATGCATAAATACTAAAGGTAGTTGATTTCATAGGCGTACTACCTAGAATTAGCGGGAGACGGACAACCGCCTCTAGAAAACAGGATACCGCACACTGTCGTCCGGCTATTGCGAGCGTCTCCGGTTACTGACACACAAATGCGATAGTTAGCCTACACGTGGGTGGATAAGTATGCGTTGCAATCTTTTTCTATTACATGTTCGAGGTTGGGAAACGTCTACTTAAGTTCGAGAACGATTCGATGTACGTATTGGATGTAAATCGGCGGGTATATTTTGATGTTTATATTTCTCTCGATATATCTCTTGATATTAATCCAATTTGCACTTATTTTTAGCATTATTTAGTTATTTTATTATTTACTTATTTGCTCATCAATCGAAATAACTACTTGTTGCATCAATTTTTTTCTCGTTTTATTTATAACAATTGATTTGAAAATAAGAGAGATATTCTGAGGTAAATATTTTAAAATAATAATTTTTATTATGAGTACATTATATAAATTCTTTTTAATTTTTAAGGTAAATATATATATATATATATATATATATATTACTTTTACATTTTTAATCGAAAATGAATTAAACATTAATTCTAAAATGAACGTTTAATTCTTAGTATAGTCATACTTTTATAGATTTCGCTGTTTTCCTGCTTCCTTGATAACAAAATTCATCAGGAGAGACATGTTAGATAACTCGTCTAACCATGAATAACCGCATTAAGGAAACCGCATGTAAGGAAAGCAACGATAATAATAATACGCTGTTCTTTTTTTTCCTACACGTGGCAACTCGTTACCAGCTTGAATTAGCCTTTTTAGCTCCAAGGTTGTATAATAGTTAAAAGAATATAACTTGTAAGTTAACGTTATTATTACGAACAATTATTTATTAATTCAATTATATCGTTTATCGAAAACCTGTCTTATCCTTATAAAATAAGTATGATTTTTTTCAAAAGATTATACTTTTGTTAGCAAATGATAAGCTTTACTACAAGATTCCAGCTCAACTCACTCGTTATTGCAACGATTAATCTTCATTTGGAAAGTTTCCAAAAATCCGACTACAAGGGATGACGATTAGTGATGTCATGTCGTGACATTCCCATTGCGAATATTATTCCGATGCAGTCTTTTCCACGTGTTGTCCTTTCGATCTCTCGGTGATACGATCTCGATGACACGATCGTCAATTTCCTTACAGAAACGATACTACTGCAAACAGGAGTAGTGATTACATCAAGGAAGATTTCGAGACATTTTATGAGAGGAACGCTTTCGTACAAAAAGCAAAACTTTCGCGAATTCAAATTCCCGTGGACTTATTTGAAACGCTGAGAAAAGTCGGTGGGATTCCCTCGCGGTTTCTTCTCGCGGTGACGAACAATTTCGTTCTATTGGATAAAGACGTACGCTTTGTAGTGGTACGCAGGGTGTCGAGCACGGGGTGTCGAGTGCTCGGGCCCTACGGAGAGAATGTCGATTGAACGACCGGGTCACTGGAACGAGAAGCAGTCGAGTGGAAACGGTGCTGGTGCGGTGACCAGGTACGACCGAATTCGGATCGCGAGGTGCCAGCTGGTGGACTAATGCAGCCCCGCGATGATCGCCGGGGACGAGAAGACGGTGGTGGGTCCCAGGTGGAAGAACTATGTAAGAGGCGAAACGCGAAGCAGGGGAGACGAGATCGTCTCGCCGCCGGTGGCGGCGTGGCTCAGGTGCCAGAAGGTGGCAGAAGAGGTTGGCCTTATAGAGGGTTTATAGTTTGCGTAGGATAGACGATGAGCGTCGAGGTCGACACGCTGGAACTCGAGGTCTTCGAGGTGAGTCCTCAGTCCCTCTCGAGGACGCGACGAACGGAAGTCGCGCGAAAAGAAGCGGTTATATCTCCTGCGTTAACGAGATCACGCTCGAGGAAATGCAGAGTGCTCGACGATCGTCAAGAGATTGCCCGCGAGATTTTAATCCCCGTGTCTATTCGAACGAAGTAATTGCTTAACGTTCTCACCATTCTGCCGTTTTGTGCAGCATTGCAAGATTAGAAAAAAATTTTCAGAAATTTTTTATTAAAAAAAAAATGTAAAGAAAATAAACATTTTTTTACTTTATGCTATTGAAAATTTATAATTTTTAAATTGATATTGATATTTTTATCTAATATTTATCTAATATTTTATTATAATTATAAATATAGTTGACTAAAGGCAGCTCATTTTCGGTCAGTCTTAGTAAACAGGATTTTACATCCAATTTTTTCTATATAATCTAAGTATCTTTGGCAATAATAGTGCACAGTTTAATCATAGTTTATCACAATGTTATCTGTTGCATAACACAATATGATAAGAAGTTAAGCATGACTTTTAGATATGTGTAAGATTTTTAAAGACACTTAACAATCATTTCTATTGATATGATAAAATTTTGAAAAATTTTATTATGATGTAACATACAATTTTCGGGTTTTTTCAATATTTTAATGTAATGCATGAAACGTGCAAAAAATTTTAATTTCATTTGGTACTGAGTCAAGAACAATTCGTTCGAAGAGCAATTTGACTTCCTGAGCGTGTCGAGACTAAAGAGTTATGCAATTTTCTATATTATGCAACTTCCGTTCGCTAGCCCGCGTGCCGTTTGACAAGTTAATGCGCTTTAGACTTTATGACTTTGTCGGCGTGAACAAATTATTGCGAAGCATAGAGATCGATCAAATTTTTCGATCAACATAGACGCACTCCCATCCTTATTCATTTTTCATTCCGCATCGTATTATTCATACTGCACATTCATACCTGTCTATACAGGGAGGAACGATCAACGCTTGAAAATAATTATCATTCGTGATATATCTACTCGCAACTATTTTAATTATGGAAAGCACATATGTAGGCAATAAAGTCAGGATCATAAGCAGGCAATTAGGCGTCAGTGAGAAATTAGAAATAAATCGGCGAGAAGCCGTCGTGATCATGCAGACTAAACATTGCATCGTGAGTAGTAAATAGAAAGATCTTATCCGGTAAGATTCGAACCCAGTTCGATTCCATTAATTTTTCCGTTTTCTACACAGGCAAATTCTCACGAAACAGATATTTATTATTATATTTATGTAAAAAATTAATTACAGATATTTTATAATAATATAATTTTCTTTCATCTAATCCCTTCGCGAAATATTTCAAGAGATCGATATTCTCTTGTACTTTCGTCGAATGCAAGTTTAATCTTGTTACACGTGGAATTGCCATCGCGTGTAACTTAGAACCAGCTTGCGAGAGTAAATCGGAGCATTTGAGCCAGTCAGTCGAATATTCGTACAGTTTGGTCAAGCGAGCTCCGTACAATTATTATAAAAATTACATTTTAATTATTAAGACTTTGACATTTACAGTATTAAACTGAAAAATGATTTGAAATGTTAAAGAGATAAAACCGGAAATACATATGTGATCAAAGATATAGAGAAATGAAAAAAATAATAAATTTTACTTTTTCAAGATTTGAATCTTAATCTTCCGACATTAAAATATGAAAAATAGTTTTTGCTATATCGCAATTTGCTCTTGTACATGCATTTTGATATTGAGCGACTTGCGCATCGATCATCATCGTCAACATAGACTGTGACATACACTTTCTCGCGCGTACGTCATCCGCGGAAAGAAAAAAAAATCAAACGCAGCAGCACACGGTCGCGGCTTATAACGGCAATAAAGCTCTTATAGACGTTCAACTTTACGTTCATCGACGTGCTGAAGCTTTATCGCGAGTACCGGAAAAAGTCTCGATTCGCTTTGTCCGTGACATGTTTTCACACACGCGTGCCACGCGATCTATACTCGTATGCGCCGTGCTGCTTTTCACGCGCTTTCTAGAGTACTCGCGATCTTCGGGGCTTATTTTATAAGCCCTACATGAATCATAAATTACCGACAAAGTAGAACACACGAATGTAATTTTTTATGAAATCTCTAAAATTTATTTATTTTTTTCTTTTAATTTTTTAAAATGATTAATAAAGATATAATTTCTTCCTTGAATTTTGAAATTCCTAACATTATTCAAAAGGAATTTTATTTTTTTTTTATAAATTAGAAATTTGTCAATTGTATTGAATTATGAAAATGGCGTACCAGCCTTACGAAGTGTATAATCAATACGCGAACGAAGAATAGATATATCGCGACGATTTCTTTTCCAGTTGAAAACGTACACGTGCAAAATGATGTGTTAATTTAAATTATTTTTATATTTTTATCATTCATGATTTAATTAATTAAAGTGGCTTAGACCGGTTTAAATCTTTTTATCGACAATTTTACACTTCTCGCTCTTATGCAATCCTCATAAAAATGCAATATCGCGAGATGACGTTAAAGTCTCGCGAGGCTTCCCAAAGTGGCCGATTTATTTTTAAGCGTCGACAAACAAGATCTGCAAAAGTAGATAAAGGCGCCTATTTTAATCCTATTTTATGCTTGGAAAGTATTAAATCGAATAGTAGTATCAGTAGCTGTCTGGCTGATAATTTGGCTATAATAAACCGAGTATTTTAAAAAATGCCGCTCTATTGGTCTCGTTAAAAATTGCTAGTTTTTCGTATAATTCTATATGAAATAAAATCTTCGTACATTCTCGACACTAATCCTTAATGACATTTGTACCATGCGTCTTTATTCTCGCTCGAGCTTTTGTACGCGTGTCGCGACCGACGGGAGTTTTCGCTTTCGTCCATGACCGTGAACGATAGAACGAAAAAGCGCATCTGTCATGCCAAACGGCGTGTCCTCGACCGATCGTTTCTACCCGCCCTTGAACGCGAGTCAAGTAACGTGAACATTCACATGTCGCGCGACCATAAGGTGAGGGACTGCGACGGCGAGGTCGAGTCAACGGATGCGACGACACGTCGCGGTACCGCGAGGATGACGGCGACGACAATGACGGTGTCCAGGAACAGCGAGGCGGGCGATCAACGGAGGTACTCGACGCAGGAGGCCGAGGAGGACGACGATGGCGGTGGTAGCAGCCGTAGAAAGCGGAAAAAGCGACGGAAAACGCAGCGAAACAAGCAGCAATTGCAGTTGCAGCAACCGCAGCTGGAGGTCGGCGACGATCAGCAGCGACCGCATGCGATACTCACCCTCGCCTCGTCATCCGACGAGGTGGAAGCTGTGGGCGAGTGTTCAAAGAGGGATTCGTCTAGTAGTTTGGGCGGCGGTAGCCGGCACAACACCCTGCGGGAGTCCTTGCTGACGGTGTTGGGCAAGTTGGTAATTTGGAAGGGCACCAGGTACCGCACCGCCACCGCCGCATCGTCCTCCTCGTCGGCGCCACCGAATTCGCCACCCGCCACCGAGTGCATTGGTCGTAGCACGTCCTTCTTCTCCAGCGGTGAGTTCCCACGAACGAGATCATCGGATAATTTTTCCTGGAAGTCGCACCGCTGGCGCGAGTCAAGGTTGCAGACGCGATGTACATTTAATAATTGATACTTGTCAAGACAGATGTAATCAATCATGATATGTGTTGATGTAATTGTTGAGGTAATTGTGTTTTTTTTTTTTTTTTATTATAAATTAGCAATAGGTTTTTATGATAAAAAGCACGGTACTTAAAAAGCACGACCAAATTGATGTCTGGTATTATATAACATGATATATAGACAGAAATATGTTTGCATTTTTGTGTGAAATCTTGTTTTACATTTTATTGAAAAAGTTTCTTCTTAATATAACAAATTATTTAGTTTATTATACTTTGTATGTTCTCCTATTCTATCTTATATCTTGTATTTTTATATCATTGGGAGGAGTAAGCGAGCTCCCTTAACACAATCACAATTTGGCACCGGTTGCATGCGCGTTCCATTTAACTGACATACCGCATTTATGTTTGTCATATTTTTTTCGATTGGAAACTATCGCAAACAATAGTGCATGTCCAAGTTACGCAATGGTTATGACGATCAATGCTGATTTTAAAAGTAATGCAAATTTCAACGAGTCGTATACTTTACACAGCAATCCAAGGCTCCGCACCTTGGACACTCGGATGACTTATTAAATTCTATAAATAAAAAAAAACGGAACGTGTAACACCCACGTACTTTTCATGAACACGTGACGGGTGTGCCTATTACGCAAGATCGATTCGATCGTTCTTCGTAGTAATACTAGCAGTGGACTTTGCCATACTTCATATGACGAGCCAACGATTAATAGTTTATCCAGTTATGTGGAACTGCCACAGTAGACATATAACAAGCGAATATAAAGTAATGCACTTAACTATAAGAACGATTAACAACGAAAAAAAGATCTGTCGTAGCTATAATGTCTTCTATTTCAGGGCTGTGGAATTATTATTTGTACTCTTCCGCTATAAAATCTAGAAAATAATAAGCGGTTAAAATAATTTTATTTATTTAATTGCTGTATAAATGTTTGCCTTTTTAGTTTCCAATTCTTTATAGTTTGCATTTATTTAATGCGATTTAAATGGTAGGAATAAATTTAAACGATCTAATGAGAATCATTGATTGATATTCTTATATGTATGCGCGCACCCTCCCCCCCCCCACCACACACACAAATGTTATATATATAATAAATGTTTTATTTATATTATTACCTTTACAGAAACAGAGAGGCGGATTCGCGCCAACAATCGCGAGTACAACTCACAGTTTAATTACGCGGTAAGACAAAATGTATTTTTTAAATGCTATCAAATCTAAAATTTAAATTTAAAAAGTGAGGTAAATGAAATATCGCTAGGAATTTAATATCTCGGAGATGAAGGTGGATATTTCTATTGCTTTGCAGAATAATTACATCAAGACGTCCAAGTATTCGGTTCTGACGTTCCTACCATTGAATTTGTTCGAGCAATTTCAGCGGCTCGCTAACTTTTACTTCCTATGCCTGTTGGTGCTTCAGATGATTCCCGCCATATCCTCTTTAACCCCTATCACCACAGCCATACCGCTTATAGGGGTACTCACGCTCACTGCCGTCAAAGATGCCTATGACGACTTTGTAAGTATTTCATGATTAACTTCTTGCTGTTTTAATATTTTGCAAAAAAAATATTTGATATTAATATATTAATATCAAAATAAATCTATAAATTATTAAATTTATAAAATTATTATTGTAAACATCTTTTGAAAGAATATGAAATAAAATAAATTTTATATAAAAAGCTGAATATTATCTACGAAAATGGAATAATATAATTTAATTTTCAGCAACGGCATAGCAACGACTCTCAAGTAAACAATAGGAAATCCCAGACATTGCGGGGTACTAATCTTCGTGAAGAGAAATGGTCGCAGGTTCAAGTCGGCGACGTAATCAGGATGGAGAACGATCAGTTTGTCGCAGCGGATGTTCTGCTGCTATCGACGAGCGAGCCAAATGGCCTCTGTTACATCGAAACAGCAGAATTGGACGGGTATTGTTTATAAAAATCATTCAATTATTGCATATACGTATCTGTAAAGATAATCGGTTGCAATAATTTATGAAATTTATATAGAGAGACGAATTTAAAGTGTCGTCAGTGCCTGCCCGAAACTGCCGAGATGATGGATAATCACGAATTGATTGGCCAGTTTGATGGAGAGATCGTTTGCGAAACCCCTAATAATTTATTAAATAAATTTGACGGAACGCTCACGTGGAAAGGACGAAAGTAAGATTAACAATGGAGATTACAAATGGAGCAAATCGAAAACCATATATTTCAAATAAAACGCTTGATAAAAATCATAGATTATTAGGGGAAAATTAAAGATATTTGGTTCTCGTTTTATTTGCATCAAGTTTAATCAACTATTATTTACTATTACTGCAACGCCCGTCGTATTAATTTATATATATTTCATAAATAATGCAGGTACGCGTTGGATAACGATAAGATTATTTTACGGGGCTGTGTGCTCAGGAATACGCAGTGGTGCTATGGCATGGTGATCTTTGCGGGCAAGGATACCAAACTGATGCAAAACTCAGGGAAGACCAAATTTAAGAGGACCTCTATAGATAGACTGCTGAATCTTCTCATCATTGGAATAGTGTTTTTTTTACTTTCTTTATGTTTATTCTGTATGGTCGGCTGTGGTATTTGGGAGAGTCTTGTGGGCCGTTATTTCCAAGTGTATCTACCGTGGGACTCGTTAGTGCCAAACGAGCCCATAACCGGTGCCACAGTAATTGCCCTACTCGTGTTCTTTTCGTACTCTATTGTACTGAACACGGTGGTGCCAATCAGTTTGTATGTGAGTGTCGAAGTTATTCGATTCGTTCAGTCGTTTTTGATAAATTGGGACGAGGAAATGTATTACGCACCCACGAAAACGCACGCTAAAGCAAGGACTACCACGTTAAACGAGGAGCTGGGTCAAATAGAATACATATTCTCTGACAAAACCGGAACATTGACGCAGAATATAATGACTTTCAACAAGTGTTCTGTGGCAGGCAAGTGTTACGGCGACATCATTGATGAAGTTACCGGCGAAGTCATCGATTTAAGTGAGGTGAGTTATTCTTTCATTGATGCGAAAATCTCTGACTCGATGCTGGCAACAGGGTACGTCCTGCAACATCAATTTTTATATTATTACAAAATTTATATATATTGTCTAAAATAGAGAAGACTCGTTACCCGCATTAGCTATGCTTCCAATGCTACGCGAAAAAAAAATTTTAGTCATATGCTTCTGCTAAAAATTTTTTGTTATTGTACGAAGGGGTTATATACTGTATTGTTACATTATATATGTTTTATTCTTTATTGTAATCTCTGTTATATTTTATCGTGAATTATAACCGATAAGTTATAATTGTGAGAAGCTATAAAATTCTCTTCTTTTTCTTCTTGCAACTGTTTGGCAAAAACACGTTAAAATATGTTTATATTAAATGCAATTTAGTACTAAAATTGTCTTTGCACTTTATTATATGCATACGTGACTTGTTGAATATTTTTATTGTCTATATATATTGTGATTCCTTTTTTAATCATACATGAAAGTTCTCAGTTCTTCTCAGTTACATGCGAATATGATCTCAATTCGTATCGTGGTTGTATTCTTTGCAAAAAATGTCATATACATCATTTAGCATGTGTGTGCTGCATGTAGACGGACAAAGCTGTTTCAACACCGATGATGCAGTGGAAGAGTGGGCAGGAATTCGTACGTCCAGTTTATACACCATTAAGTGGTCCGAATGTACGTCTTCTGGAACAAGCAGACAGAGTGTCTAATACAACACCAGAACCCGGGATCAACGGCAGCCCAAAGATTCCACACAAATCTTCAGTACGCATGTTGATAATTAGCACTTTTTATCATCAATCATAGAATCTGTACACGCTTTTATCGCTTTTATCTATATATCATCTTATCGTTTTAATCAATATATGTTCAATATCATCCGTTTATCAATGCACTTGCATCACACATAATATTATGTAAGTCGAAGCATGTCTATTATCTTTATTACTCTCCATAACTGTATCTGTACTGTTTATGCATGTTACAACTTTACACTATGCTATAAACTAGATAAATAAGCTATACTTACTTGTATCTGCATACACACGCATTGTTAAAATTAATTTCTTTCGTAACTATTTTCTTGTAATGTATATACTTCGATAATGATACAGCTAACAGTATATAATCCAGGTCTTCCAATGTATCTATTTTTAAGGAAATAAGGTACATTACTCTATGTATTATAATTTCTAGCTTTCTGCATAGCTTTCTTTCCTCTCTTTTTTAACAATAGCGGACTTTCCAATTTCTGCCAATAAGATTAATTTTCTTCCATATTAATCTCGTGGCACGCGATTAAAATATGGAGTTTATGAAAAATTTTATCCTACCCTTTACAGACAATGCCACCTTTGGATTTTTCATTTAATAAGGACTACGAACCAGACTTTAAATTCTACGATCCGGCGCTACTTGAAGCCGTGAAACGGGAAAATCAAGATGTCCACAGTTTTTTCAGATTGCTTGCACTCTGTCATACCGTTATGCCGGAAGAAAAACATGGCAAGATCGAATATCAAGCACAGTCACCCGACGAAGCTGCCCTAGTATCTGCAGCTAGAAACTTTGGTTTTGTCTTCAAGGAAAGATCACCCAATAGTATAACGATAGAAGTAATGGGAAAGAAAGAGATATACGAACTTCTCTGCATTCTGGATTTTAATAACGTGCGAAAGAGGATGTCCGTGATTTTAAGAAAAGATGGACATCTCCGATTGTACTGCAAAGGAGCAGATAGTGTTATTTATGAGCGATTAAAGAAGGACAGCGAAGAAATAAAGGCGAAAACATTGGACCATCTAAACAAGTTTGCAGGCGAAGGCTTAAGAACACTGTGCCTTTCCGTGAGAGATTTGGATGAAAGTTTTTTTAATAATTGGAAACAACGCCATCAAGAAGCAGCGTTAAGCCAAGAAAATAGGGACGACAAGTTGGATGCAATTTACGAAGAGATAGAAAAAGATATGTCGTTACTGGGTGCTACTGCTATCGAAGATAAATTACAAGATGGTGTACCTCAGACTATCGCCAATCTGAGTCTCGCTGGTATTAAACTTTGGGTATTAACTGGTGACAAACAGGGTAAGCTGAAAGAGCATACAAAATTATAAAAACGAAATAAACTCTGTATTTATAAAACAACTTTTTCACGTTAATTTTTTTTATGTTTATAGAAACAGCTATCAATATCGGATACTCATGTCAGTTATTGACAGATGATCTCACGGATGTCTTCGTGGTAGACGGCACTACTTACGATAGCGTAGAGTCGCAATTAATGCGATATTCAGACACCATCAAGACGGCATCGACTCAACAGAAACGGCCAACTCTCTCCATTGTCACATTCAGGTGGGACAAGGAAAGGTCAGGCACATGAAAGAGACGGAGTACAACCTATCAATTTCTTCTATTGCCGATTAACGCATTCTTGTTAGGAAAGAAAAAACCTATCACATTGAATGTGGCACTATGTTTCATGTAATGCTTTCTATGTCTCTATATAGTCTTGCCTAACTAAAAACTTATCGTATTTAACTGCAGAGAATTCATGCTTTATATTATAAGCTAGCGCTATAAGCTAGCGGATCTCGTAAAGCAGTTCAAATTACAATAATTATTTCGTGAGACTGAAAAAAATGATTTATATACATATTGCGTCCCCCCATCATTCAGGGGATCGGAGCACATACACATATATATATATATATATATATATATATAAATAGCCCTACTATATATATAGGGGCATTTTTTCGGACAATATGAAGACGCAATGATGAATTGTATTCTGCTAATAGCTTAATCATATATGCGTTGATTTTTATGTATCCTATTTTCTATTTATCCATCGCGAAATTCAATTTTGAGATTACGATTTGCATGTATATCTAATAGTATTCCTATCCTTTATATTAATTCCTTTATATTAAAAAGCATTACAACATTATCTTCTACTTTTTTTCAATTGTCAAAGATATCATCGACATATTTACTTGTTACTTCTTTTTGATAATTTAATAATATAACTATTTAGAATAGTAGATTAGATCTTGCCTTTATAAAGAGACAAACAGATATTTTTCAAATACTGCATATGTTATATCTGAGATATCCTACAATTTTAGTAATATTTATAGTCATAGATAACTAAGATATTTATCATGATGCTTGATACTCACTCCTTCTCTTTCTGTATGCTTAATACTTAATCTTAATGATAATATTAACACAACTGATATGTTGTTTGTGTCACGTTTTTGTATATGTAGTTATTAATATAATGCACTGTGTATCGTTTACAGTTAACGTGCATCATTTTTTAATAACAAAAACTTAACTTCAAAGTTATTTATTATTTTTTCAATGATTATGAAATTAATTATTGATTAATTTTGAAAGTGATTTATTATTTCTGATTCAATTTAATTGTGTTTATAATTATGGATTAAATAAATCTTAGAGAATTTATTACACGAATACCAGACGAACATATTTTATATGAGAAGAAATCATCTTTTGCTTGAAAGCTATTTTTCTCTGCACAGCAGTGATACCGAATACAATCCTAGGGACGAACAAGATGAGCATGAGATGGAACAATCGACAGGATTTGCAGTAGTTATCAATGGACATTCTTTGGTGCACGCATTACACCCACAGTTGGAACCGCTTTTTCTAGAAGTATCTAGCCAATGTAAGTTGAAGTCGATCACACATAGAGACAGTTATTTAATGGCTTAAATCTCTTGCAGGTAAAGCTGTAATATGTTGTCGTGTGACGCCATTGCAAAAGGCAATGGTCGTCGAGTTAATTAAGAAAAATAAGTCTGCGGTGACTCTAGCAATTGGTGACGGCGCCAATGATGTCTCGATGATAAAAACAGCTCATATCGGTGTTGGCATTAGCGGGCAAGAAGGATTGCAAGCAGTATTAGCCTCTGATTATTCTATAGGACAATTTAGATTTTTGGAGAGGCTACTTCTAGTTCATGGCAGATGGTCGTACTATAGAATGAGTAAATTTCTTAGATATTTTTTTTATAAGAATTTCGCATTCACGCTCTGCCACATCTGGTTTGCTTTCTTCTGTGGATTCAGCGCACAGGTAATATTTTCAAAAACTGACTGTATTATAATAATAACGATATAATAAAAATAAAAATAAGAGGCGCGTTGTGGCTTTGCGAGTTAACGCGAGACTCGTAAGTCAGAGGTCCCGGAATTCGAATTCCGATCCCGATCGACAATATTTACAAGCGACGGCGCTCCTCTACGGAGGTATAGCAAACCGTAGAGTACCTCTAGAGTAACTCTGCCGACAAAAAAATAATTCTTATATGATAGTATTGGTAGTGGTATTGGTATTATGCGATAAAACATGTTGTTCCGGATATCCCGCTATGGCTTGTACTTCTCAAGCGATGCACACTTCCCAACGAATACTATCATGCATTTCGCGCGCTTTCTTTTTTATTTTTCTATTTGTCTTTTTTTCCACTTTTTTCTCGTAAGAATTAAAAGCGTAACGACATGCATCTACGTGCCGTATCTTCATAGAGGAGCAACATCGCTTGTAAATATTGTCGGCCGAGATCGAGATTCGAATCCGGGACTTCTGGACTTACGAGTCTCGCGCTAACTCATAGAGCCACAACGCTCAGTAATGAGTTAACAATTACATAAAATATACTAGTAAAAATATTTAATATATTTATATTCGCAAATGTTTGCTTTTCGCATTTTCCGGCTTAGAAAGATTTTCGAGAAGGAGAGTTCTGTATTTTGCTTATTTTTAATATATTTTTTGTATATAAGAGGATTTACTTTTTTTTTGTGTTCTATCTTATAATACTAATACTATCGCATTCCGCGCGCTCTTTCTTTTTTTATTTTTCTCTTTTTCTCTTGTCTCTTTTTCTGTCTCTTTTTCCACTTTTCTCTCATAAAAATTAAGCATGACGACATATATAATAAAAATAATAGTAAATAATAGAGAGCGAGCGTGGCATAGTAGGTAGCGCACTGGTCTACTACTATGCTTAGAGGTCCCGGGTTCGATTCCCGGCAGAACCAAGAATGTTTTTCCTACGCTCGTGTCTCTTCTTCGGCAATCTGACAAACTGCCAAGAGTATCTTTGCTAGGAAACCTCTCTCAATTAAGCCGTTCGGATTCGGCATAAAATTGTAGGTCCCGTATACCTGTGTACAATCTGCGTGCGCACCACAGATATACGTAAGCGAGAGAAGATTAGATCTAGACCCAACTTGGGCTGTAGCGCCATTGGAATGAATGAGAAAAATAGTAAATAATAGTAAAAATTGAATGATGCTTTAAAGGCGAATATTATTCTTAATGCTCCTTTGTAAGAGCTTGCTCCAAAGTCGAGCTTTTGAATATGAATTTAATCCTTTTTCTGACATATTGTAGAAAATAATATATAAATAGCACGCGATTGAAATAGATTGTACAATTATCTCTATATTTCTCGTGTATTTTTTTTTTTGCAGACTGTATTTGATCCTATGTACATTTCCGTCTACAATCTCTTTTATACCTCGTTACCAGTCTTGGCGGTTGGCATTTTCGATCAGGATGTTAACGACAAGAACAGTTTAATGTATCCAAAACTATATGCACCAGGATTGCAGAACTTGCTCTTCAACAAGAAGGAATTTTGTTGGAGCGCTTTACATGGTTTTTACGCTAGTTGTGTATTATTTTTAGTACCTTACGGTAAATATTTTTGTTTACTTATTAATATTTATTTTTAGAATATAATAACTCAAATTTATGTTAACACGCATGTTTTACTTATTTCAACAGGGACATACAAAGACGGGGTGTCACCCAAGGGTTACGTACTTTCTGATCATATGCTGCTGGGCAGTGTAGTAGCCACTATATTAGTTATAGTCGTGACCGTTCAAATAGCTCTCGATACATCATACTGGACGATTTTTAACCACATTATGGTGTGGGGCTCGCTCATCTGGTATTTTATTTTAGATTATTTCTACAATTTCGTTATAGGTGGTAGTTATGTCGGCAGTCTTACGATGGTACGTATTATCGCAAATTTTCGCCTGTAATTTTCGTTGAAAATATATGTAGTATTTAAAATATTTAATTGAAATTTATAGGCCATGTCGGAGGCAACTTTTTGGTTCACTACAGTGATATCCTGTATAATTCTCGTGATACCGGTCCTGTCATGGCGATTCTTCTTCATGGACGTTAGACCGACGCTGTCCGATAGAGTCAGACTGAAGCAAAGGCTGGCACAACTGCGTTCTCGTCAAAGCCAGGATATACTGCGTACCCCGTCTACGAGACGTACGCGGCGATCTTTGCGTTCGGGTTATGCCTTCGCTCACCAAGAGGGCTTCGGCAGGCTTATTACATCTGGGAAAATTATGCGCAAATTGCCAAATGGTGCTGATTTTAAGTTTTCTATGCCATTTACGAACAATGTTACGAAGCAGGTTAATGTTGCTACAACATCACCAAAGGATAACAGTGCATCTAGAAATTCGCACACACTGGACACGATCAATTTATAATCGTTTAGATATTTTAATCAACTTGGTGGACACTAAAGTACAGATGACTAGTGAGGTTCTCTTAATTTACTTAGTTACGGACATTAAACCAAAATTAAATGCGTCGAATTTATTGATCCCGGTGTATCCCATTGAAATCGTGTTCTTTTCTTTCTTTTTTTTTGTGTTAATTAAGAGTTGCAAGAGCAAGTAGTCGTGTACAGTATTCGAGAGGATCTCGAGAAGCATCAATATCTGTGATTATTATATTTAATTTAAACATTTATTTATTCGAGGAAAATTTTGATCAATTAGAATTTTTATTATGATCTATTTCTATAATGGATGCCTATGAACAACGATAATAATGTTAAAATATAAATGTATGTAACTTCGTTAATACATACATCTAACGCAATGAATTCCAGTGGGATACATTGAGTATACTATAATAGAAGTAGCATATGCTATTTACATCTATACATCACTGTTAAGCATTTATATATGTTATAATTATTACTTAAATGTTATATATTTACGTGTTCAATATTTTTTAAATTATATTTTTGCACTTTTGCCAAGTACACAGAATATGCATACTTGATTTAACATTTTGTTGACACAATGATCATGTACGTAAATAGTAATATATTTTATGATAATTATATACTGTATAGAAAAATAGCTTATGCTACAATATAGACTAAAATGTTTTTAATTGTTGTAAAATTTCATATTAGTGTATGTGAAAAATAATATTGAGTATTGTGTTGTGAATAATTTTTGATATTTTGTTCGATGAAAATTGAAAAAATATTATCTTGATTTGATGTAAAATGTTGAAAACAAGTATTAATAGAAAATGCTGAAAATACATGTTTTTTTTACTTGAAATTATAATATTAATTTTCAATAATAAAACATAGGAATTATAATTTACTTATATGGACTATAGGTAAAAATTTATACAAAATTTATACAAAAAAATTAAGATGATTATTTTTTTATGATTTACATGTTTCTTCATAAGGCATTTTTCATTAAAAACTCTAAATAATTTAAAAATATATTCTCAGCATTTAATAATATTTGTAATCTTGTGTCTAATTCTTGGTTCATTTTATTGAAAATCGTTACATGAAAACTAATGCAATAACGATGGAAGAAATAATATGCATTGTCATACACTCCCTGTATATATAAAAGAAGTATTGCATCGAGATGTCAAAACCTCTCTTGTAATATCTTATCTTGTATTATATATTATTCTAATATGAACATGATTATTGTAAAAACAAAAAACTGCGTTTACGATTAAATACTATTATAAGAATAATAGTTACATTGATAATTGCCTTTATAAAATATGAATATATAACAAACAATTTAAAATTGTAACATAGCATTGATTGTAAATATTTTAAAGAGATATATATTATATATATTAAATGTTAAGTATACACATTTTTTAAAAGAAAGTAATATATAGATAGATTGATTTAAAATACGCGAAAATAGTAGCTATATTGTATTACACTATCGCGGATAAAGTTTGCCTTGGACTGACTATTGAATATAATATATTAAAGCGAAAAAAACAGTAGCAAAACAATAGAGACTATGTATTTCTACTTTTAATATAACAATGAAATTTAGGGAGAAATAGTCTGTACGGGGAAAGTATGTTTCCATAATCAAACTATGATTTGAATGGAGAATATTAGAATTTTGGTTGCTTTCAAACATTGTGCCTAATCGTCAAATTCACACAGAGTTTTTCGAACTCCCGTGATATTTCGTTAGTTTAGATTTATATGATATACACTTCGTTTTCTATGTCAATAACAATTACGAAATAAGTGTATTACTTTAACTTATTAGTTCCAGCTACAGACATTTTTGGTAATTTATACCACAGTCTCTTTTGTATCACATAATAATGTTAATCCAAAGTTTGCAATACAGAAATATGATTCTCTTAAACAAGTTTCTGAAGTTTTTCTTTTGCTTATTGTGAAACGTCGAATTTTGGACAAATATTATATTCTGAAGAAAGTAAATAAAATTCGTGGAATGCTAGCACAATGTTCGCGTTCTCGCAATTTATACTACATAATCGGTTTTATAACATATCCCATATTACAAAACAAATTATTTTCATTCTAAAAAAATTATATTTCTAAAAAGTTGAATTATTTATAAATAATAAGACATTACAAGAACTTTTTTTACGGTGAAAATGAAATACTTGTTAATAAGCATATAAGTAAACTGAAAAAATAATTTGAAAAAGATACATTTATGCAGATTAAATATCACATCATTAAATATGCCACATGCATGGAATTGTAAATTTCATCAGTTTTGAAACTACATTATTATGATAGCTTTGTTGTATCGACGCGTATATGAATATATTTTTCTTTATGAAGTAAACTTATACAGTTATACATAGATGCGTAGATACACAAGTTATATTCTTTATAAAAGCTGATTCATGTGCGCATTCATTTTGCTAATATTTCGCGCTATCGTATTAACGTGTATGTGATTATAAATAACAATCTCGCATATAAAAATTAACTATAAAAATGTAAAATATTTTCTGCTGTACAAGTTTCAGAGATATTAAATGATATTCTGTTCTTATTTTAAAGAAGTTACAGATTAAAATTTTTCTAAATGTCTGAATTGTTATTTGAGTTATTGCATGTGAAAAAATTGCGTGGGAAATATATAAGTATTATTTAAAATTCTTGATAATTAATATCAATGTGCTTACTTAATG